GATGTTCAAGCATGCAGTAACAGCTACCCACTTTCACAAATCAATCAAGTTATAAAACGATGTAATTTAACACCTTTACATTGAAAACCCACTAGGGGGAATATTTGTAATTCTCTAATCCGCTCTACTATGTAGCTATCGATGATATATATGTAATTGCCACTCTAGATCATATTGCACTATTCTAGCAATGTATACTGCATATATATAAATTATTATTAGAATTAATTGGTTACTGAGCAACTATTATGGGAGTGCTGTAAATACAGATTTTGCTGACACGGTAGAGAGCTATAAAATGTAATTGTTTCTAAGGAAAGCATTTGTGAGTCTCTAAATCATGCTTCTAAACAGTGCAGAAATCAGAGTATAACTGTGGCTGATATAAAAAATAGGTTTTCTGTGAATATCATGGTAAATTTAGGAATCACTGATAACCCAGATTAACTTGTAAATTGTAGAAAATAAAATTCTTGCCCATGAAAGGTAGTTTATCAATATCATTACATGTCTTTAAAAAAATTAGATTTTTAAAGATACCTGTTTTTAATTTGACTACATATTCTAGCTGATAGCAGCTAATATATAGATATTTTTAACAACATGTCGATCCACAGAGAAATCCGACTGCCTCTATGCAGTCAAGAAAGAGTGTTTTTGGCTATAACTGGAATTTTCTTCAAATAGTCTTCATTTTGGTCAACATGAGCAACAAGAATGTACGAACATATGAACGTGATGGATTTGAGTTTTGTATGTATGTTCCATTTTTGCTAAAGGGACACTATAGGCATCTAGACCACTTCAGCTCATTAAAGTGGTGTGGTGCAGTGTCCCTTTTGCACATAGTGCCGCAATGTAAAACATTGCAGTTCCAGGGAAACTGAAATGTTTACATTGCAGCACTAAGTCTTGCCCCCTGTGGCTGTCTACCAGACAGCCACTGGGGGCTTTTCCTGGATCTAAACGGACCTTAGGCCTGGTATCTAATGCTGGACGTCCTCACGCTCTGCATGAGAAAATTCAGCATCACTTTTTTCCCCATAGGAAAGCATTGATTAAATGAATGATTAAATGCTTTCCTATGGGGAGGTCTAATATGCGCACGGCACTTGCTGTGAATGCGCATTTGCGCCCGTTCGTCTCAGGACATTGGAGGGGGTGGAGCATAGATCCAGCACCAAGGTAAATCGGTACTGGGATAAGATAAGAAAATAAAGGTTTTTAACCCTTTATTGACCGGAAGGGAGGGGGCGCGAGGGAGGAGGCAGGGGGGAACGATAGTACCAGGAATACAGCTATGTATTTCTGGCAATATAGTATCCATTTAATGACACAACTGAAAAGAAAACATGACACAACTTTTCTTAGCTTTTGCAGTCTGTTATTTTAGACGGTTGTGTTCTGTGGCCAATCAGCATTTTGATACTGAGTTCCCTTAAATGCAATCTATTTCAGTCATCATGAAAATCATTCTAATAGTCACATGCTATTTTACTTTAACTCACTACAATAGCTACACTACTCCAAGAATGCCGTTTAATAGGCAACAAGACAATTCGAGATAATAGCGCTCGGCAAATCCTGGACACAGTCTTCTACAACAGGAACAAGAAAATCTGCCTCCAGAAACATATTTATTTATTCAATTTGTTGCAAGGTCTTACTTTTAAAGGGAGGCTGAGGGGTGTAAATTTCAGAGCAATGACAGTTCTCTTTTAAATGTAAGTGATTAATTTATTCTTGGGTTCAAAATGACTTTATTGTGAAAAGTTCTGTAGATGGCAAATTGGCAATAAAATCTCACAGGAGATCAAATAGGAGATTTAAATAAATAGAATAGATTTTGATTAACAGATAACCTAAGTCTGTCTTGTAGCATATTATTAGTAAGTAATGGATTGTATATTGCAAGATATAAATTTATTTAGTAAAATCTTATTTACATAGAATTACAATAAATAGGTCAGGATAGAGATGTTCTTTTCCAGAAAGCTTTCTATAAGCACTTTCAGGAAGATCCAATCTATATAAACAATCCTGGGATTAGCTGTACATTTAGCCTGCTCCTTTGTCCAAATGCCAAATGTCTCAATTCAATGAGCTTTTGATCTGAGTTGTGATATACGGTAGTCATCCTCAATAAAGCCTCTTTAGATTAAACCATTGCCATTATTTAGAGTAATATGTGAAACTTTCTGCTAATCCATCTCTTTGATCCGGTAACTGGTGCTTTTAAATATTATAATGCAATTGAAGCCTATCGGAGCTTTTGAAATTTGCAATATTTGCTCCAAAAGATCTTTAGCCCTTTAGAGTTTTTTTGAATGGAGTAAGCTTCACATAATGAGCAGGGGTGATTGATTTTAAAGGAAATCTCTAAGAACCCAACAACTTTAGATTAATTTAAGGTTGTCCTATTTAATTTCCAATGTTTTATTAGGAGTGTTTAGTGTATAGACCATGCCCTGTAGTCTCACTGATCAGTTTTCTACCATTTAGGAGTTAAATCACTTTTGTTTCTGTTTATGCTGCATTACCCACACTTTACCTGGCCTTGATTCACACAGCCTCCATGAAAAAATACGTTTTTGCTCTTCATCAGATCTTACAGCACAGTGTATAATATTAAAGTTCTTAAATCCTGCTCTGTTAATGGAACTTTACTCACACACGGGAGACTCCTTTAGGCTCTAGCAGGCTATTAACGGACCAAGAGAAAAAGGCATTCTAATTTAAACACAATGTGCATTAAGGAAAGCTTAAATTTTTGATTATTTTTCAGGAAGTGTGTAGGGAGGCTGTATGGGTCTCAGTCAGAGGAGGTGGGGCTAATGCTGCATACATTTGTGATTCAACTCACAAATATTAGAGAATTAAGCAATGTAATTGCAGGGTATGATATGTAAACCAATACCACTTAATTGAGCTTTTTTCTTTAAGTTGCTTTGAAGCTAGAATGTCTCTATTAACATGTATAAATGATGTAACTCCAATGTTTATAAATACTACCGGCTAATTAAATATCACTGGCTCCCCAAATTCTCTATTTTGCTCCTACTCATCTAAACTTAAGTTTAATTTATAGTCATTGTCATAGCAATTACATATTGTCCTGTCTAGAAGTGGTTAAAGGAATTTAACTGTGCTATATTAGAGCACATGGATCAATGTATTGATATGCTTTTTTTTCTTTGTTAAAGTGCTGTAATCCATGGCTCTTTACAAAAAAAAAAAAGCTAATATACATTGAAAAGAGAAATCAGTAGACACCAAACACTAAATAAGCTATGAGATCAATCAGGTTCAGAGTAGTTTATGAATGATAGGCTGAAGTCTAACTGGTATAAGACAGGTAAAAATGAAAGAATGTAGTGTGAGAAAATAGGATTATCATAAACATGCAAAGTATCAAGTAGGTGTAAATTGCAGATGGAGATAAAGGAGAGTATGTGAATGAAAAAGAAGAGAGAGGAAGCCAAGGCCACCATTAAGCTGGCTAAATTCATTTTTATATAAAGCACTAATTATTGTTTTCCCTTTAATATATGCATTTATGTTTAATTGATAGAGTTACTCAAGGTAGATAGCATGAGATTTTATATAACAGCTCATAGCAATACATTATTTAAGTGGAAACTATAGTCACCAAAATGACTTTATCTTAATGAAGCAGTTTTGGTGTATAGATCATGCCCCTGCAGTCTCACTGCTCAATTCTCTGACATTTATGAGTTAGCTCACGTTGTGTATGCAGCCTTAGTCACACCTCCTTGCATGTGACTTACACAGCCATCCCGAATACTTCCTGTAATGAGTCATCTGATGTTTATACATCCTTTGCTGCAAATTGTATTTAATTTAGAATATCTTATCTCCTTTTCTGTTAATAGCTTACTAGACCCTGCAGGAGATTCCTGTATGTAACTAAAGTTCAATTTAAAGAGCAGGAAATACAACTTTTTAAGTAACATCCAATTAAAAATTAAGCATTTTTTTGTCAGTCACAGTCACATTCAAGCTGAAATAAATTCAAATTTAAGGCCAGAGTAGATGAACTGAAAGCATAACTGACTTAGACAATCGGCTATTTTGGCCCTAAATTCGAAATTCACCTTGAACTCACTTTGAATTCTCATTTTAGAAAATAACCCTGTATAATTCTTGCTGTACTATTTCTAGATTTACAGGAAAATTTCATATACCCAATAAATCATTATATGCTTAATTTTCTAAATAACTTCTACATTATTGTTTTGACCACAAATTGTCTTTTAATTGAAACAATTTTAGATCCTAAATTACAACACAAAGCGGTGAGTATTTCGATTGAGTTCAGTGCCTTTAATTACTATTATTTTCATTGCTAGATCAATTCTAAATGTATTCAACAAAGAACATGATACTTTTCCAACCATCTGTAACCTAAGCCATGTAATTTAGAACAGAATGGGTTTCAAGCATTTGACTTACTCAATGGGAAGTTCATTCAATCTGAATATCCTTTGTGTGAATTCTTTTTTCCCCTTAGTACACGAGAATATTTTGCAAACAACATTAAAATAAGTTAGAGAACACACTAGTTTAACTACTGAAGAACATTGAAAAACACTTAATAAACATCATGTGAAAATCAAGATACTCTATCAAAATGTATAAAATTAATATTGTCCTTGAAATATTGCTTTACGTATTGTAGGGTAAATTACTATTGAATATGCTACTTATTACTTTTTTCTTGCCTTATACAATTTCTTGTGGGGCAAGCAAATTTGTGTTGACTCAAAGCAACACAGACATTAGAGTTCTGTTTTACTGGTTTATTATTAGAATCCCATGTGTATATGCCATATTTTTTCTCTTATATTAATAAACAATTCCTTTATTCATACATATTCAGTTCTTAGGACTTAGTTGGACATGATGATGTGATGTGGACATCAGCATTGGTTGGACATGCTGAAGTCATATTAGTAATTAATAACTCCTAAAGGACCACTATAGTGCCAGGAAAACATACTCGTTTTCCTGGCACTATAGTGCCAGGAAAACATACTCGTTTTCCTGGCACTATAGTGCCAGGAAAACATATTTGTTTTCCTGGCACTATAGTGCCCTGAGGGTGGGGGCACCCCTCCCGCCGGGCTCTGGGGAGAGGAAGGGGTTAAAATCTTACCTTTCTCCAGCGCCGGACGGGGAGCTCTCCTCCTCCTCTCCTCCTTCATAGCGACATCATCGGCTGAATGCGCATGAGCAGCAGGAGCCGCGCGCGCATTCAGCCAGTTCATAGGAAAGCATTCACAATGCTTTCCTATGGACGCTGGCGTCTTCTCACTGTGATTTTCACAGTGAGAAGCACGCAAGCGCCTCTAGCGGCTGTCAAAGACAGCCACTAGAGGCTCTAGAGGCTGAATTAACCCTATTATAAACATAGCAGTTTCTCTGAAACTGCTATGTTTATAAAAAAAAAAAGGGTTAACCCTAGCTGGACCAGGCACCCAGACCACTTCATTAAGCTGAAGTGGGTTGGGTGCCTATAGTGGTCCTTTAATAAAAATGTGCTTGGCTAAAAGTGTCTTAGGGGGTCTGTTGTAGTTGTTCTCAGAGTAGTTCTCATTACCAAGCAACAGTCCAGGTTCTATCAGTATCTCCATTGAAATAAAAATAGGAAATACATAAATCCTTGAATGTTGGTGGATCATGAGGACTGGTTTGGGAACCACTGGTCTGTAGGACCAAGGTAGCTCTTGGAAGTGGCAGCATTGGATCACCCACTGCTTCATTTAGGGCGATTTTATGTATATTCTAGATCCCAATTAAAGGTTCAGCATGTAGTGGTCGCTGTTATATGTTACCACCACCTCCTCGTATATGCCCTGAGTCAACCCTCTACTGTGCTTTATCCTCAATGCCACGCTACACTGATCAGTAATGTAGGGGAATGAGAAAAATATATGCAATGTGAATGAATTACATAGGGAATGAATAAGACAAAGCCACAGGGGGTGAAAATTGTCAGAAGACGGGATGATTGGTACAGACACACGGGAGAGGAAGTGAGAGAAAAAATAGATGGAGAAAACAGAGGAAGACAAATGAAAGCGAATGGAGAAAGCACAGGAGGTAAATAGATACAAGGGGGACAATGGGAAGTGAGGAATCTACATTATAGGTCCATAGGATTAAGGGCACACTGAGAAATACATAAAGCAAATGTATGTAAGGAGACACAAAGCCATAAAATGAGACAGTGATAGTAGGCATGGAGAGACACAATTGAATGGGTAAAAGAAGTTCTTTTGGGTGGCAGGATAGAAAAGCATGGAGGATGTGGCTAGCACAAGATGGATTGGGAAATATAAGATTGGGAGTAATTGACATTGGTGATGAATTGGTTAAGGGTGTGTGGATAAACTGGGAAATTAGTATATTGCATGACTTGTTCTGTTGTTTCTGTTCGGTGAACTATTTGGTTGGCAAAATAGAATCAAAGTAAGCAGGAACTATTCATTTTTACAAGCAACTTTTTTTTTAAGGAATTCCTGGGCCAACTGAAGCAGACAACTGAAGCAAAACAGCAGGGTATTTCCCATTGATTTCCTATTTTAACATCAGGTTCCCTGGCTAATATCAGCATGTTATTGACTTCCTTCCTCTGCTATTGTTGATGGTATCTGACAGCCGTTGAGCTGTGCACTTTAACTGGTTGATCACACAGAGTTTCTTTTGTCCAAACTTTTCTTTACAGGCACCTGTCTCAATATTTCCATTGCAATAAGGACTTACCTTGCAAAAGCATCTCATTCCTATGCACAGTATTATTCTGGTCATAGAAACATAGAAACATAGAAACATAGAATGTGACGGCAGATAAGAACCATTCGGCCCATCTAGTCTGCCCAATTTTCTAAATACTTTCATTAGTCCCTGGCCTTATCTTATAGTTAGGATAGCCTTATGCCTATCCCACGCATGCTTAAACTCCTTTACTGTGTTAACCTCTACCACTTCAGCTGGAAGGCTATTCCATGCATCCACTACCCTCTCAGTAAAGTAATACTTCCTGATAAATCGATGTTAAATCTCTCTATATAACAACGTTAGATTGCTACATACGTGGCTCCGGAATGTCTGCTCACATTTTCATTGTTTGAAAGAGCACCACATGATCTTCATTATTATGACAGCCTGACATTTTCTTTAATTACAAGCCTTGATGTGTTTAATAGCCTAAAATTGGCCTGCAATGTGACAGCTATCCCTTTTAGAATCAATAGTTAGACTCTAGGGCACCAGCTTGGTCATCGAGATCAATATTAGAAAAATATAGCCTGTCGAGACCTTTTGGCCTATTATTGATTGGTATAGGGAACAGCGAGCAAAGTGAGTAATGATATGAAGGCTTAGATCCAGCAGACTTGGACTTTTCATTGATTTCATCATGTAGATGAATCTTTGATGAATAAGAGAACAATAATACAAACATCTAAAACTAACAAATTTACATTAGCAAATGACTTAGAAAGTTATTTTATGATGTTTGTAAGAAAGCACAGCACAGCAAGCATGCGGCTCATTCAGGCCGTGGATACATTCATTGTCTGTGTATCTGGTATCCCACGTTAAACAGTATAACGAGGGTTAAAGAGTCAATTAAAGTGATGCAGATGTCTTAGTACAGCCACATCACGCTTAGCTTGACTATGTCTGTCAGCTCAGATAACTAATTCATTTATCAATAAGCTGTGGCAGGTTTCTACATTATGGTTAACCAAAAATAAAGTAGGGACACCATAAAAAACATTTACATAACTTTTGAGTACAGAAAAAAAACAAAAACATTAAGGGCAAATTTGAGGTACCATTATCGTTTATTACCATCTATTTTAAATGTCAACTTAAAGGGACACTTACAAAATATGGATTACTGTGTGACTGTATAAAATCTATACAGGATTATGAAATGATGCACTGAGCATTAAAAAAAATGCTTTATAGAGGATGTATCACTTTTACTAATGCTTACATTATGGGGGACATCCATTATGGCTATAATATAGTAGAGGGATTCAAAAGCAAACCCCAAAATATTTCAAAACATATTTGCAAAAAAATGTAAATATCCAAAAAAAAGCAACAAAACTAGCAACATGCATATTAGTTATAATAAAATAGAATTTACTCAGGGTATTCACACAAACTTTGTTTACTACAATTTGTAGGAAAAAAATTGTAATAAATGAAAAAGCATATGTCAAAATTTAGGCAGATAAAAAATAACTTAGTAATGGCTCCAGCATGACTATTTGTAATTAATTTAAATGTATTTTCAAAATGTAGATAGCAATAGCTGATTTAAAAAAAAAAAATATTTAAACTTATTTTTGCCCATTTTGATCTAAACTTTACAATTCTGATTGATTTAGTTTATGCGTTCTTGTGCTATAGCACCAGCTTGTTATTTTTTGGTGTGTGTGTATAGTTATAGTTTGCTGTTTATTTGAGTTCTTCTTTTTACCTCTTGTAGGTTTCTAGACATTTTTCTTGACATTGATTGCATAATTATTTCTCACAACAAATGTATTCTTCCCTACAATGGCAGCTGGTGCAGAAAATGTTGGCAGCTTCAGAAGAGGGAGCGAGAAGCATGGGGAAGAAATCATGACAGGAGGGGTGAATATGCAAGATTTGTAACAAAAGGCATAATCGTACATAACACAGAGATAAACAGGATAATAATAAAAATATAGAAACAAAGAATGTGAAGGCAGATATAACCACTCGGCACATCTAGTCTGCCAAATTTTCTAAATGCTTTCATTAGCCCCTGGCCTTATCTTAAGTCTATGACCACTTTATGCCTATCCCGCGCATAATTAAACTCCCTCACTGTGTTAACATCTACCACTTCAGCTGGAAGGCTATTCCATGCATCCACTACCTTCTCAGCAAAGTAATGCTTCCATATTCTAGAAGAATTTTACTGGTTCTCAAGAAGGTACACCTAAAAGGGCAATTTACTGAAATGTACACCCTTGAGCAAAGCATTGAAAGTCACTAAACTTGTGCTAAACATTTTGACATAAGATGTTCAGCTTTCTTTTAAATCCATATTAAAGGTTTGGCAAATAATATAACAATCCAGTTCAGACTAGGCAAAGCCGGGACAATTATCACCGAAGAAGAGCAAAATAAATAAAAAAATATATATATATATTTTTCTTTTTTCTGCATGTTGTTTATGGTGACTGACAGGTGCAGAAGAAAGTGTTTATAATAATGATTGACAGGGAGCTAAGATGGAGGTGCTTATGGCGGGATAATGAGGTGTGAATTTCTACTTTTCATATTATTTTTCACACTTGACAAATATATATTTGTTAAATATAGTGATATGTAAACAGAATATAAAAAATCCTGGAAAGCAACAGTTACTATTTAGGTTGTGAGAAAGGTTAAAATAGTATAATAATGTTAATGATTTCCTGAATTAGACCATTACGTTCAATGAGATCTTTATAACTATTTAAATGTAATAAACAAACATTCATAGGAAGAAAATAAACAAATCAAGTCCCCAGAATTACCAAAAAGTAACCTTCTTTACTTTCATTTTCTCCAGAGCACACAAATATTTGTCTTTTCGTTATTTTGTAAAATACTTAAATTATGATTTGGGTTCTCAAAGGATGTACCAACCCTTATCTATTGAGTAATAAATAAAAAAATAAATGCAGATACAATGTTGGATTGCAGACGAAATCTTGTTATCTTTCTTGAATTATTTTGTACGCTATATGCTCTACATAAACATAGATTTGATGGCATAGTGTGTTTAGCACAGAAAACAATATCTCACAGTAAATAAAGACAAAAGTCCATCAAAATAAATATATTTTACTGTCTGTAAAACAAACTTAGTGATACAAATATATTTGAAGGGACACTGTAGGCACTGTTTTACCCCCTCTGTGTTACTTGGGCTAACGATGAAGCATTAGCCTGAGTAGCAATGGTTGATTATGATTGGCTGAGAGTGTCAGCTGATTTAGAGTAGAGAGTAGAGAGGCACTATAACTATACTAACGAGGAAAAATGGTTAT